ACCTTTTTCCAGGGAGTCTTCACAGAGGTCCCAACTGAATTCATGATTCACATGTTTAAACCACAAACACCTTGGAGATAAATTGTGGATATTAAAATAGATAATGTAACCAGTTTAAAAAAAACCAAACACACCAAAAAACTAGCAAACACCTGTTACCAGCAGTTATAAGTGAGTATATGAAAGTATAGAATTTAAACCTACAATTCAGTGATAGTCATGTGTGTGATTTCACCACTAATGTCTGATGTCCATAGAAAGACCTTATCATATTTGTATGTTACCTGGGAAATAATTGCTGTATGTAGACCATTGAGACTTGGACTATAGTAATTAAATTCTGAAAAAGCAGACGTCTGATCGTGTGTAGTATTATCCAAATATTAGTGCAACACGTTCTCTGCTGTTATACTACAATCTGGTACTGTTATAACTTCAGGTCTTCACCCATTTACACATGTCCTAACTTGCTACTTTTTTCTAAAATAATAGTCTTAAATTGTCAGCTACCACTGCATAAAATGCACTTGTGACAGGATCACATACACCAGCAATGGCAGCAGCCTGGACAGAGTTCAGAGAGGCCTCGGCATCTTCCCAGCTGTGGCCACGCTGCCAACTGGAAACACCTGAGCGGAGCGGGGCAGCCCCACCACCTGCCCTGCAGGGAGATGGGAGCTGTGGGAAGGGAGGGATCCCTGAGCAGTCACCAGGATATAAAAAGGCTTTTGGCTTCTTCCTTTTTGGCACCTAGGTTGAATGCAGGAGAGGAAGGTCAGTCTGGGCTTCTGGCTGGCTAGGAGGTGGGATGGATAGGGAGCACAATACCATGGTTTGAGACTGTAGGTGTGATCTCTGTTATCCTGGGGGGGCAGGTGGTCACGTGGAGGGGATAGAAGCACCAGCAGATCCTTCTGGAAGTGCTATCAAATCTCTGAGCTTTTCAGAGTCTAATCTCCAGTGGGTATCAAATCTTGAGCTGTTTTAGTGGCATATCTGCTGATAACTAATGAGGATATGAAAGTATTTAGGTCCTGGCATGTGAAAACCATTGCTGCTCATGGCAAAACTCCCATTACTGTTAATGAAATGTTTAAAAACTTGTCTCCTAGTGGGTTGCCAGTCTGTGCAGGGTGCTATTTCTGCTGTCTCTCTGCCCTGTAGGTGTCTTGTAGATGACTAGCACATGGGCTATAGTCTTCCAGTGATCCATTTGATATTCAAAAACATGTACATGAGCATACAACCATACCTGATTACCAAGACCAGCACTCATCTATTGCAGGTGATGCTCTGTCTTGCAAAGATCTGCATACCCTGTCCCAGGTGGATGATTGCATATTAAAACATTCTTCTTCAAAATTTCCTTCCTTCCTTCCTTCCTTCCTTCCTTCCTTCCTTCCTTCCTTCCTTCCTTCCTTCCTTCCTTCCTTCCTTCCTTCCTTCCTTCCTTCCTTCCTTCCTTCCTTCCTTCCTTCCTTCCTTCCTTCCTTCCTTCCTTCCTTCCTTCCTTCCTTCACCTGTCCTGCAGAAACACAGAGGTTTGAGGATGGAAAAGTGAACACAACTGTTTCTTTAACCAGCTTGTCAGCCTCAAAGTTTCTCATGCAGGTCCTTGGATATCCATGTTTTGGAAAATATTGGGGAATCTCTCTGAACTTGTTATTGACTCACAGTCCTGGGCTGGATTCTCAGTTCATTGTTCACCTTTTTCCAGGGAGTCTTCACAGAGGTCCCAACTGAATTCATGATTCACATGTTTAAACCACAAACACCTTGGAGATAAATTGTGGATATTACAAATAATAATGTAACCAGTTTAAAAAAAAAAACAAACACACCAAAAAACTAGCAAACACCTGTTACCAGCAGTTGTGAGTATATGAAAGTATAGAATTTAAACCTACAATTCAGTGATAGTCATGTGTGTGATTTCACCACTAATGTCTGATGTCCATAGAAAGACCTTATCATATTTGTATGTTACCTGGGAAATAATTGCTGTATGTAGACCATTGAGACTTGGACTATAGTAATTAAATTCTGAAAAAGCAGACGTCTGATCGTGTGTAGTATTATCCAAATTTTAGTGCAACACGTTCTCTGCTGTTATACTACAATCTGGTACTGTTATAACTTCAGGTCTTCACCCATTTACACATGTCCTAACTTGCTACTTTTTTCTAAAATAATAGTCTTAAATTGTCAGCTACCACTGCATAAAATGCACTTGTGACAGGATCACATACACCAGCAATGGCAGCAGCCTGGACAGAGTTCAGAGAGGCCTCGGCATCTTCCCAGCTGTGGCCACGCTGCCAACTGGAAACACCTGAGCGGAGCGGGGCAGCCCCACCACCTGCCCTGCAGGGAGATGGGAGCTGTGGGAAGGGAGGGATCCCTGAGCAGTCACCAGGATATAAAAAGGCTTTTGGCTTCTTCCTTTTTGGCACCTAGGTTGAATGCAGGAGAGGAAGGTCAGTCTGGGCTTCTGGCTGGCTAGGAGGTGGGATGGATAGGGAGCACAATACCATGGTTTGAGACTGTAGGTGTGATCTCTGTTATCCTGGGGGGGCAGGTGGTCACGTGGAGGGGATAGAAGCACCAGCAGATCCTTCTGGAAGTGCTATCAAATCTCTGAGCTTTTCAGAGTCTAATCTCCAGTGGGTATCAAATCTTGAGCTGTTTTAGTGGCATATCTGCTGATAACTAATGAGGATATGAAAGTATTTAGGTCCTGGCATGTGAAAACCATTGCTGCTCATGGCAAAACTCCCATTACTGTTAATGAAATGTTTAAAAACTTGTCTCCTAGTGGGTTGCCAGTCTGTGCAGGGTGCTATTTCTGCTGTCTCTCTGCCCTGTAGGTGTCTTGTAGATGACTAGCACATGGGCTATAGTCTTCCAGTATCCAAGCCACATAAAGGGTATTAGTTTGAGTCATTGTTAATACCTCTTTGTATCTTACTAGAAAAGGCTTTGCTGCTTCATTTATAAAAGGTGCAACAATTGCAGGTTCAAAAAAGAAGTTAGAGTGAACACCTAGACTAAATGTGTGTTGAGGGAGATACCGGCTCCTATAAATGCAAAGAGTGGCAAGTTGAGTCACAGGTAAATACTTCAGCCTTTTTTCCCCTCTGTGTGATTCAAATGGCAGTAAAGCTATAAGAGTCACTTCTGGTAAGCAATTTTCTTTTTTAAACTTTGTTGCTTAAGACCAAAGATACAGAGGCAGGTCACAGCATGCAGCTGCAGTTTGCACACAGAAGCACCATGGGCTGATTTTTGCTTTGGACTGTACACCACAAAAAAAGATAGATGAAAACTGTTCTTATTTTTTCTATCCCGGTTGCCTGAAGCTTCAGTTCAAGAAGGTAATCAATAGCTGCTGCTGTTAGCCACACAGATCAAAGAGAAGGGAACATATGCTTTCATGTCTAATGGCAATGGCCGTGGACCGATAGACTTGCCATATAGCAAGAAGGGATTGAGATTAGGAAAAACTTTTCTAAATGCAATGATAACTTTAAGCACAGCACCAGATTCCTACAGAAGCTTGAAACTGATGATGGCAATCTCATAAAAATGACCCATATGCTTGGGTCCAGTTGAATCTGCTTTGGGATAGAAAGGGGGACTAGATCCAAAGACAAAGGGTTAAAAAAACCTGGAGTGGGCTCAGTTTCACTCCCCCACCCCTCTGGCCAGCGCAGCTGGGCTAGCTGGGGCTGTCATAATTTCCTTCCATCAGTAGCAAGGGGAGAATCGGAGACCAACTGTGACTCACATGGTCTGAGTCAAACCTCCTCTCTTGCTGTTCCTGTGAACGCAGTTTACGGCATCTTCTAATCTAATTTCAAAGTCCTGGCTGGGCTCTTGGGTGGTGTTACTTCCAACTGTAAATTGCAGAGGGAAGAAGTGAGAGGTTCCTCTAACTTTTGTAAAATGATATTTGGAAACTTCAGCAGCATTAATGGGAAAACCCTGCACATATCCATGGTGGCTAATAGTAACCAGTGAAAGCATTTCATGGGGACATGAGAAAGGGAATAGTCTTCACATATGCAGAAGCAGGGCTTTTTTGTCTTCTATTTTTTTCTGCTCTTATGCAGAACTTCATTTTTCACTTCTCTTTACATTATCTAAACTTGTGAAAATCAGTCATCCTAAATATTTATTCTTAATTTAGGGAATGTGTAGTGACCCCCAACCTGCTTATGCCATTGGCACCGGCAAAGACCTGCAAAGTAGTGGATGTTTTTCACTATAAACATTGTTTGATTCAGTCCTTAAACTGTCTTCAGCTTTGAGTATATCTTTGGCATACTAGACATTACTATTTACAAACAGTAACATTTTTCTCACTCAACTTTGGCAAAATGTTAAATCGCAAAAAAAAAGAGCAGAGACTGTTCACAGAAGTAATATTTAATATAAGCATGCACAGAAGCACTTGCAAGATTTAGGCATTGATGAAATAATGTTTTTAGTGGTATCTGCTTAATAATTCCAACACAGAAGGACACTTGACCTAAATGAGTTCATAAGAAACAAAATATTCTGTGCTTTAGGTACGTGAGCTCTATATAAGTGCTAAGTGTTATACAGCCAAAAGACTTGCCATACTCTGAGGTCCATCTTGCCCAGGACTCAGTGTCTGTCAGTGGTGAGCAGCAAGGAAAGGAGATAAGAAACAGAACATCCTTCCCCACAAATGCCTTTCGAACAACCAGAGGCTTAAGAGCTTACTGAGCTGAAAATTATAGCCAGACCGCTTTGTACAGTAGACACCATTGGACCTATTTTTCTTAAATGTTTCTCATCCCTTTTTTAAAAAAGTTGTGCTTCTGACTTTGCTTGTATTGCATGAAAATGTAACGATGCTCTGTATCCATAGTTTTGTTACTTTTACTATTATATAATAATTTACATAATAACCTTATGGTTTCAGTATATTACGTGGGGAAAAAATCTCTTCCTGTTTATCTTAATCTTGCCACCTGTTAATTTCTCTGGGTATGCCTTAGCTTTTATATTGTGACTTATCATTCCCTGTTTCTCTTTCCCGCATTGCCTGTGATTTTTAGGGCTCTCTGGAACCTGATTCTCTACCTCATATACAACATACCCATGAAGGTTTTTTGGATGTGCATCAATGACAGCCAGGGAGTGTTGCATGTAGCGCCGAAGGCGAGGAGGCAGGGGGTACGCTGCTGGCATAGCCACAGCCAGGGTTGGTTTCACCGTCATGTGATTGTTCACGCCGTTTCGGGCAGCTGCCAGGGATATGGACTCTTATCTCCGGATGCCCTGGCCGAAAGGAGAGCTGGAGTGTATCCTTGCCTTCACTGCGTGCCCCTCACAAGTGTAAAAGACTTCATAAAAATAGTTCAGGGGCAACTGCAAGGCAGAGAGGTGGTTGGTGGGCTGACTGGTTTGTTTTGCCATTTGGGATGGTGGGGCCGGCGTTATGCGCAGGCATTTCTCCAGAGCGTGAGCATGCTGAACACCCGGAGCCTTTGCTCGGCTCCAAATCACAGGAGCTGAGAACTGCATTATTATTGTTATAAAGGTACACAATACATTTTGCAGGAGCAGACTATAAATATTTCCAGCAAGTGCACTTACTATAGGTGTGGATGCCAAGCAGCACTGTCTCCTTCCTAATTGTTAAGAAAGCATTTTTGTTTTATTGCATAGACAGTAGATTCTTTGTCCCTTTACCATTCTTCTCACAAGTATGCGTTGAGATGGCACACTGGGTTTATCACACGCTAAGGAAGAAAACTGTAGCTGGAGTCTCTGCTTCCTATCAGCTCAACAGCCTATTTTAGCTCATGGGGCTCTCGAAAAGACAAATCATATTTCCTCTGCTCTCGTGCCTGGTCAGAGTCTGAGCAGTCCCACTGCTCAGTTCTGTCACTTCAGGTGCAAGAGTGATCTGGCCTTTGATGTTAGCCTAATTACACAGTCCATATGCACGCATAGGGAGGAGCCCAGGGAATATTGACAGGTAAATTAAATAGTGTGCGGAAGCAGCACAGAGTGATGGATGTCAGGCAGCCTCCGTCCAGATGCATGATTTTCCTGTTATCTTTATAGCTATTTCCAACAATGGGCTCTCCAAAGCAGCTAAGGGATCTGCTAGAGCTCATCTAGGGGAGTGGGAAGGAAACTTGTGGTGCTGCCTCTCAGTACTACTGGGTGGACCACAGCTTCCACAGCACACTGAGGTTTTTCCATTTCCACTCAAATCTGGGCCATGTCAGCCCAGGACCTTCTAAAATAATACTAGGCAATTAACGTGTTTTAATTTTCAGGAGACTTCAAAAATAAATGATTGCCCATTAACACTTAAGCACCTGGAATGAGGCAGTAATGTTAGCTTTATTTTTATTTTTTTCCATGCGCAGGGCTGGAATACAAGCTTCATTTTTGAAATCCTGCTTGTCAGACTAAATCTTCCTAAAGCTTGTTACAAAATGATGTCATCGATCTGCTGGCCTGCCTCTGGCTGGGCTTCCAGTAGAGAACTACCTGCAGGAAAGGTAGCCCTTTGATGAAGGCGCATGCTGTGCCTGCCCTGTGCGTGCGTACGGATTGTGCGTCCGGGCTGGGTTCCTGCCCCAGCTGTAGTCAGCAGTTGCTCACGGAGCTTGTGGTCATTACGAGGTAGGATACTGGAATCCAGCGTTACTTCCAGATTTCTTTGTGTTTCGCATTCGTAAAACAAATATATATGTTGGTCTTGTGCCCACATTTGGTTCTGTCGCAAATCTCCATCCAAACTAAATTCATTTTAGGCGAAGGAAAAAGAGCATGCTCCCAAGCGCCTTTGATCCCTAGTTAAGCAAGCCGGTAAGTGAGGCTTCAGTTCAACACAATCTACTTGCATGCTCTTCTGCTAATAATAAACTAAATAATGTGCATTTTAAAAATAGTCGAAATCCGTATTGTCTCAAAAAGCACAGAAGTTAAAAAGGAGTAAAAAGATAGGAAATGTAGCCGAAAAGCATCCCAACTCAGTTTCAAAGCCTCTAGGGTTTATATTCCATGAAAGAAAAGCCTGTATGTGTAAATTCCCTTGTTTATATATTTATCTCAATGTGTTTTCTATCCCTGGTGTCAAATGTCCAACCAAACCCAGGGAAGATGCTTTTACAGTTTTAAAAATACAGTCCCAAGGAGATATCAGAGCTGTAACCTGCTATCTTTTTGGTAACAAAGGAGAGTTGAGAGTGGAATTAGGACCATGATCTAAGCAGGAGCAGTGGCTGCTCGCTGTCATGCAGTGGGGAGCTGTGTGCCCTGTGCTACCTCCTGCTCCCCCCCCCAATGGTGCTGGGCACCCTGTTTTCTGAGCAAGGGGAGAGGAGGTGGCTCAGCCCCACAGGCCAAGTGGCTGTGGCTCAGCACAGCCCCATTGTAGCCTGGGGGTGAGCACCGCCAGCAAGCTGCCACTCAGTGATGTCCCTTTTGTGGGTGCTAGGGGACCAGGAAGGGCCTGGGTGCAGCGGGAGCACAGCAGTGCGAGGAGCTTGCCCTCGTACGGCGATGGCAGGGTACGTGGAGGCTGCCTGCCAGAAGTCGGGAAGACTGCTGAGCCTGTTTCCTTCTGGCAGAGCCCCTGTGCGCTTCTGTCTTTGAATGCATTTTTGAGGGTTAAGTGCTTGTCTCAGATTAAAAAAAAAAAAGAGAAAGCAGAGAATGGCACAGATAAATCTGCGTCAGTCTTGCCAAAGTGGGTTTCTGCAGCACAGCACGGGACCAGGCAGCAGGTTTGGAGAAGACCAGAGAATCCCTGCGGGGCACTGAAGAGGGGTTTAAGTCCATGGAGATGAATAAGCCTGGAATCCCGTTCAAAATCCTGTGCAAATACCGTAGTCGTCCAGCTGGAGGTGTA